GCTGAAGTCAGTAGGTGCCTTGGCGATGCTCATCGCTTCTGGAAATCTGGCCCTTTGACCTATTAAAGCCTCTGAGTGAAAACTAAGAAAAATGCTTGCGTTGTAGCTATGTCATGAGCCTTATTTAATTCATGTTTGTCAAAGGCTTTGAGAACATCCGAGTGATACCATATGTTATTAAGATTAATACACCATTTCGCCCATTAGAAGTTAATAAGATTAGCCCCATACGGATACATCTCTATCAGGAGTATTAATATGGTTAGACCGTGTGTCTCTGGAGCAGCAGCAACTTTAAACTGGTAAAACTGTGTACCAGAAGAGTTCGGTTTATCCAAAACAAGTGCTTGTGGGAAGTTGTGAGCAGTTTGATTAAAGGTTGTCACTAAATGTGTTCTAATTAACAAGGACTCTTGTGACATGTCTATACTCCCTCATTATGACTCATATGAATGGGAAATTGGTGGTTAGTTCTTTGCCTTGTGGACTTATACCCTGGATATGTCCAATAAACACCTTTGCTGAAGAAGGTAAGAAAGTTCCTTCCACTAATACTCTAAATATACCTTTTTCTTTGTCTTGTTTACTTTGTTTTACATAATACCAGGTCCCGTTCATTCCTCCCCTCAGTGTATAGAGGATAAAATCCTCACCTAGAAAATACCTGTGGCATGGGACTGGGCCAGGGATAGAAAGGGATGTTTTGGTGGTATGGCTGAAGAGGCCAAAGGAGGATCTGTGAAAAGGGAGGAATGATCAAAGATACAAGTACACAACGGGCAACACTTAGCTGGATGGCAACACTACAGAAAATGATCTGAAAGTCTTAGTAGATCACAGACTCAGTATGAGTCTGCAGTGTGATGCAGCCACACAAAGGGCAAGTGCTGCTTCGGGATGCATCAGTAGAAGCATTAAATGGAAGACATGGGAAGCAGGGGTGCATCTCTACTCAGCACTGATTAGGCCTCATCTACAGTATTGTGTACAATTTTGGGGTTCACGTTTTAACAAGGACCTGAAAAAGAGAGGCTCCAGAACTGGACAACAAAAATGATAAAGGGCTTGGGCTTGAAAGGCAAGTCATACAAGGAGAGACTGAAGGAAATAGGCATGTCCAGCTTGTGGAAAATGTGCTTAAGAAAGGATATGATAGCAGTCTTTAAATACCTGAAGGTCTGCCATAAAGAAGAGAACAACACCTTTTCTGTCACAGCAGAGAGTAGGACCTTTAATCAATGGCTTGAAGTCACAGCAAAGTAGATTTAGATGGGAAAACTTCTTCACTATTAGAAGAGCGAGGCAGTGGAATAGATTGCACAGGGAAGTTGTTGAATCTCCAGCATTGGATGTATATAGGAAGAGGTTGAACAGGCATTGGTCAGAGATGACCTTGGCATAGGTATGCCTGTGTTCTACTATAGGTATTTCCCATGCTTCTGGGCTTTGCTGTTTGCCCCATGGGGCTGGGATGGAGTTTTTTCCCCTCTAGCTGCTACATTTTCCTCAGTAACATTGGGTGTTGGCTGCAGCCAAGACAGAATTTTGAGTTGGGTGTACCAGAGCTCCTGCTAGGACTTAAACGCAGAGATTCCTGCCTAGAAGGTCTTGTCCCTCCACTCAGGGTCAGACCAAATGCCATATTTGGGCTCAGGTAAGGGTTATACACCATGGCCAGATTGGTATAGACTATGGGGGCTTTTGCCTTCCTCAGTAGTCCTCTTCCTGGGATCTCTGCATATTTTAACAACCTTTGCAGCAGCAGGATGTTGGCCACCATGGTCCCTCTGCTTTACCAATGGCAGATTAGGGAGTTATGTCTTGTGTTGTGTCTGGGTTGACTGTGTAGTTTTGCTAGGAGAGTGGACAATGGATTTGCATGGTTTGCAGAGGAATGATTCAGGCAGGGGTTTGGACCAGATGACCGCTAGAGGTCCCTTCCAGCCCTACTTCTCTGTGATTTCCTTAAGTCCTTGTAACTGGGAGAAGCTCCTGGAGCAGCTGCATATTTTGCAAGCAGAGGCTGATCAGGAAACCAGGAGGTGCAAATTTAGGAAGTGTGGCTCAGACCTGGCATCTTTGCTGATACTTTTCCTCTTTAGGCTCTTGACCATATGAGATTTTTAACACTATTACTGTATTCTGATACCATTGCCTATCAGTCACAGTTTACCAGAGTCTGACTTTCTGTGCAACTCTACCATGTATCTAACCTGAGAAATAGGAAAGAATTTTTTTTTCCAAAAAGTATCGAGCCATTCTTTTTCACTCATACTGACCTATCATTTTTTGGGGGAAAAAAAAGTTTAATGCACAATAATAAATGCCACTGCTGAAGCATTGTAAAGAGAGTGGACTTTTGGACATATGAATTGCCTACACAACTTCTATTTATCTAAGAGAAGAACCTGAAGCATGGGCTAGTTTGCATGTCAAATACAGGGTATCATGGTTCAGTAAATGTATTAAAAACTGCTCAGGGATATGTTTAAGTTGTAAATTAGAAGTTTTCTAATCCTCAGAGCAGTGAGGTTTGGGAACAGTTTCACAACGTGTAGGGGGTAGAGCACTTAACTAGCTTAAGATGTAGCTTGATCAGTCTATAAATGGGATATAATATGATACAGTTGCCTGTGAAAGCAAGGGATTGGACTCAGTGGGCATGTCTACATATACAAATGCTGTGGGGTGGATAAATTATTATAGAGTAAACCCACCGCAGGCAGGTGTCTACACATGCGGGGATGATTTGCTGCTCCTGGCTGCAATCTGCTCCCGACCCCTCCGGCCCTTCCCTGGTTCCCTGCAGCAGCCAGGGTGAGCTCTAGGCTCCCCCTGAGTGCTAGCCCAGGGGCTGGCAGGGAGCATGGGTCCAGGACACAACTGTTTCCTGGTCGGGGCTGGGAGATTGCTCCATGCCCCCAGGAGCTGCCTGATGCCGGGGCAGGCTCTGCCACTGGAGCCTGGGTGGGGACAATGCCCCCCTGCCCTGGCAGCAGGGAGCTCCTGACCCTGGCTCTTTGATTGGAGGCAGGGGCTTGGAAAGAACTGCAGGAGAGGGGCAGAGCCCAGCCCCTGCCCCGATCTGCCAGTGGCACAGCTAGCGGTGAGGTCCCAGCTGGCCAGTTGGGGCACAGGACTGGGACCTGTCCCTGACCAGGACAGTTCCTGGCCAGCCCTGGGCTGTGTGGGGGAGCGTACGCGTGCAGCCCAGAGCTGGCTGGGAACTGCCCAAAATGGGACAGTACCCGGCCACCGCCAGGTTGCACATGTAGATCTCCTCATGCAGCCCAGGGCTGGTCAGCCAGGAGCAGATCCTAGTCAGCTCCAGGCTGGGCAGGTAACTCTCACAGTGCAAGGGCAATCATCTCCTAGCCCCTGCTCCGCGATCGTGGAGGCAGGGAGCAATCTCCCACCCCTGGCTCAGCCATCTACACATGCCATACTGCACAGTAATTACTTGTGAGTAAATTTGCTACTTGTATTTACAGGTGGCAAATTTACTCGTGATTAGAGCAAATTACTATGCAATAAGTGTCTGCACATGTAGATGGTGAAGCTTACTGCACCAGTGGCATACTGACGGTGGTGGGGGCACCAGCTGGGCCCTCCAGGAGTTACTTGGTCCCCAGGCAGCACTTCCAGTGAAACTGGAAGTGAAAATTCCCTGCCCCTGCTCTGCTGCAATCGGCTGCGGACAAATGCAGGCATTGGCCCCCGGGTGCCAGAGACCCACAAGATGTCACTGTACTGCACAGTAATTTGCTCTAATCTCATGTAAAGTGTCTCATGTAGACGTGCCCAGCAAGTCAGGAGCTCACTTCCGGAGTTCTGTCTCTACTTCAGAGAAACGTGGGTTTTGTGAAAAATCATCAAACAAAGTAATAGCTTGCTCATTTGAGTGTTCAGGTCTATTCCTGATCTTCATTTACATCCCATACAGCAGAAGGCTCGGGAGTATGTTGCCAGTTAGCTTAAGTATACAGCCCAAACTGATTCACAATCCCAATACAAAATTGGGCAGATAAATGTAGCAGATTACAGAAGTATCTAGTAGTTTAGGATAGGGTTTTGGCCCTTATCTTGCCAGATCTTGTATGATAAATATAAGATTTCTTTGTTTATCTATGCTGGGCATATTAAAGTAGCTAAGGAATAATTTAATTGTTTTGTGTGTTATACTATAGTAAATAGCAGTGCTAATAATTAACCAATAGGTTTATCATACTTAATCAGCATTTTTGGAAGCAATTGTTCTGTATCCCACCAACATTATTTATATGTTTAATTGTTAAAAAAATACTTGACTACGGAGTGTGCTTTTGTGGCCTGTTTGATGCCTATTTCCTTCGATTTTACAATGTAGTGAACAGCGTTGAATTTGAAAGTAAAACTGAAGAGAAAAAAGATGTGGATGGTGATGACTTGACAAAAAATGGGCCGAAGCCAATCCTGCCTTACAGCTCCATGTTTATCTTGAGTCCTACAAACCCGTAAGTCTTCTGGCTGTATAGCACCTCTTCCAAACTATGTGTGTGTGTCCTATGAGGATGTATATGCAGAGAAAAAATGGTGTACTTTAAATTCATTTAGATATTCTCTGTTTAAATGCATTGGAAAATTAAATACAAAGGTTGCCTGGGTTGAAGAGGAGATGCTATGTTTGACCTGGACTTTGCTAGAAGAATAGGTTACCAATAAAAAAAAAATCTATAAAGAGCCAGATTAGTAGCTCCATATCTCTGCAAAATCTGAACTTCTAGGAAAAAATTGTCAGGATTTCTTCATTTGCTCAAGCTGAGTAGAATACACAGGACCTGTTGGGGTCATAACACTTTCTGCTCATGGTGTCTTTGTCTCCTGAGGAGCTTTGTACTCAGACTGCAAATACAGAACCATGTCATCCCAAAATACTGCAGGATTAGACAAGGCATAAAGGGCTTTGAGTCATTTCAGGAAGTAAATCAGGGTGGTAGAGTGTTTGGAATCTTTGCCATCCCATAGTTTTGCTTGCACTAGTTGTCATTTAAATCCTAGTGCTCTGAATTTAAATCTTAGCTTATCTGTGGTCTGTATTCATACAATCCAAACTGATCTGACTATAAGCATATATGCAGATTGGATATACTGTGGAAAACAAGTTATACATGCATATGGAAGGGTAGATAGTCCCAGATCACCAGTGGTCTCAGTAGCCTTTTGGAAAATGAGATGGGTGCTCAGTTCAGTACCGTCTGGAAATATGGGCTCCTCCACATTGGTAACAGGAGATTTGTATTCCATCTGCATCTTTGTGGTCTGTGCCATCCACTGTTCCAGCAACAGATTTCATGAAGATTTAAGGTATCTGATTAAAAAGCCCACAGATATTTCTGAGATTTCTGTGAGAATGCAGTGATCATATTGTGCTAGCCCTAATAGTAGTTTCAAATACAACAACATATCCTTTGATGAAATGGATTAAGTGCAAGGGATATGAGGGAAGGGCTTATCTGATATGATGCACAAACAGAATAGCATAAAAGAAAGATGAACGGTTTGAATTATGGAAGCATTTGAATTATGAGTCTCAGATCCTGGCTGACTTGATAGTAAACATAACAGTGCCTCTAATTTTGGCAGCCCATTCTGCTTTGTATCATTCCTGGGTTGATTGCCTAGAGCAAGGATGCTCAATATCCGGCCTGCAGGCCAGATCCAGTCCCCAGCACTGGGTCTTCCAGCCTGTGGGGCTCCCAACAAGTACGTGTGGAGCCCCATGGTTCTGTGGCTCTGCATGCTGGATCCTGGCATGACAGAGGTGGCATGGGGCGCCGGGGTCCTAATCATAGTACATGGGGGTGGGTGGAGGCAGCATGAAGCCCCAGAACCTGATCTTGGCATGTGGGAGCTGGGCAGGGCTCGATCCCAGCACACACAGTCTGGTTTGGCCCATAGACCAGTGCCACTCCTGCAGGGCCAAAATGTTGAGAACCACCGACCTTGAATGAGTGCACAGCTACAAAACCACAGGTAAAGCTACTAAGCCACAAAGTGGCAATAATATCAAGTCCTGAGCTAAGAACAGACTGTTTCTCACTTGTACAGACCAGTTAGGAGCATAAGTGCCCAATCTTTTTTCTAACCCACCTTTTCTTCAGTCATTTCCTCTTGCAGTATTCCAGTATCCTTTATGCTCTTTCAATCCCTCCTCTCCAAAACGGAAAAACAGCAAAAGATGTAATGCATAGTTCATTGTATCATATATGGGCAAAGTAGGCATTAACATGCAGGACCATGCTGTCTTCAACTCTTTAAGGGTGCAAAAGATGAGGGAAGCTTACAAGAAGTCTCTCCAACTTCTGTTCCCATCTAAGGGCCAGGCACAATACCTATAGTAAGCACTAGGGGTGTGCGAAATGGGCCCTGTTCAATTTGGTTTTGGCCCGAATCGGGGACAGCGATTCGAATCACTGTCCCTGATTTGATTCAGCCAAATCCAAATCTGACAATTCAATGCTGATTCGGTGAATCAGCAATTTGGACACAGACACAGCTTTAAAAGTTTTTTCTACATACCTTGAGGTAGCAGTGCGGCTGGGATCGCTGCGGTGCTGGGGCAGATGGAGTGTCCCACAGCAGCGTTCGCATGCTCAGCAGCGAACCTGGAAGCAGACTGGAAGTATTTGGGGGGGGTGGGGAGTGGGGGGGTCTGTGCGATCCTTGGTGGACCAGGAAGTGCTTCTGGTCCACTTCTGGGTCTGCTGCCGAGCGTGCGGGGGACCCACCCCATGCTTCTGTGGGATGCTGCATCTGCTCCTGCTACCTAGAGGTATGTAGAAAAAACATTTAAAGCTGTGTCTACCTCTGAGTCACCAAATCTGTCCAAATCTTTCTGAATCAATTCGGAGGGTTCCAATTCGACTCGGAGAGATTAAAGTGTCCTCTGATTTGATTCAGATTCTGAGATTCGGCCACCAAATCAGGCCAAATCTCCGCCTAATCGAATCAGGGACTGAAGCTTCGCACAGCCCTAGTAAGCACGTCCTCTGGTCCCTGCAAATATTATGGCTGGTTCTTTGTACTTGGAATGAGGAATTAGCCAGGTGTGGGGGGGAAAGGAGGGAAGCAGGGGCAGGAAGGGCAAGCAGATGCTTCATGCACTATAAGAGCAGTGTTGCTACCTATGAAACATGCTTCTCCTGAGGGGAGCCAGCCAGTTACTCCTCGACCACCACACATTAGAGGCATTGTAATCTTTACTATTAAGTCAGCCAGGATCTGAGATTTATAATTTGGGCACTTCCTCTCTGCTCCAGAAAATTTGTCTTTATTTTATGAAAGCTTTATCTTTCTTTAGTGCAGTACTGTCCTTTGGCACATCCTATTCAGTACATCCTAGCTATAAGGGTAAGGATTTGGCTCACAGTTTGCTAATCATCCTTTAGTTACCTATTTCCATTCAGAACATTACTTTCAATAATAGAGGCTAGAAAAATAAATGTTGTCACAAAGGCAGTGTTTACATTGTAATTAAAGTGTGATTGTCCCCAGTCTAATTTTAATCTGACTGGCCCAGGTAACAATAGGAGGGACATTAGGGCAGTGCAGGCTGTGGCATGGGCTGTACAAGCCTGCCCAATACCCTAAGTAATTGCTTGATGACTGAAATCTGTGCCACTGCAGCTTTGCTGCTATCAATACCCAAGTTAGGTTTCTCCCATTGCATTATAGACGTCATCTAATATGGTGGGAAGTACCAGCCTTGGCAGTCCCTCAATTCGAGGATGGTCTCTACCACGGCTTATTCGTGGGTCTTGAGGTAACTTAAGAGTCCAATCCTTGAGCCACAAATCTGGCCACAGAAATCGCAAGTCTATCCACGGGGAAAAGTCAGCTGCAGGCTGGGATTTTTGCCCTTTTCCTTCCTCTTTTCTGCTTTGAGGGCAAAACACTTTACCTCCAAATGGGCTGCTGCTTGGTTGAAGTTGCAGCACCATTGAAGTTGGATAGGAAGTGGGACCAAAGATATGGAGAGAGAGCAGGAGGGAAACATGTGCCTCAGAAGGCTTGGGTGTTTGTTTAAGTCTTTGGCTCTTTTTCTTAGAGTAGCTCTTTCTTCTTTCGAAGGGTAGGATGTTTTTCCTAATATCTTTTTCTAAACCATTCTCTTTCTAAACACTGGAGGAAAATTTGCCTGAGTACTGCCAAGAGTGCAAAACATTTTTGAACAACTATAAATACAGGATTTTTCAAGAACCAGCCTTGAAAAAATAAATGTGCATTTTAATCGCTTTATCAAGAACCACTGGTAATTTGCAAACACTACTGCATCTCATTGACTGCTATGAATGATTATGAACCAAAAATAGCAACTTGTTACAAGTCCAAGTTCAGTGTGTGAATTACAGTTACAAATATTATTGGTAATGTTACCTCTCGCTTCTTTGGACTCGTACAACACCAGGATATGGAACAAGAGTTTGGGAACGCCACAAAACATTTCCATTACCTTTAGTTAATAACAAATTCCCTTTTGCTATTTCTGCAAAATTGCCAGGAAGTATTTGTTGTAACAGTTTGCTAGTAGTTTTGAATAAAATAGAAATTCAAGAATCTTACACTTTTCTTGTAAACACTTCAGGAAGGAAAAGTCCAGGTTAAATTTACCAAATAAATTACTTGTTATGAATTATTTGTTTGGTTCTCAAAAATTTCAGTAAACTATACTGTAGAGATGCCTAGAGAGAGATTTAAAAAATAATAAATTCTAGTAATGATTTTTTTAGACTAAGGATTTCCATTATATAGCAAATGGTATGGCCTCCATGTTTCATAATTTCAATGACATTTTTGCAGAAGAAAGTATTATTTTATGACCCTGGGAGGTGCAGAAAAGTGTGGTGACTTGCCCAACATCTGATAGTAATTCAGTGGCAGAACAGGAATCTCAGCTCTCAGTTTCCTGATCTAACCGTAACACCCTTCCTATTCGTATCTCTTCTAGGCAAGTCCTCCCACAGCTACTATGTTATCTGCACTGACAGACCGTAGCAATGGTAGCTCTTTCACATGATTTTTTTTTCCTCCCAGAATCCGACGCCTGTTTCATTACATTGTGAACTTGCGCTACTTTGAGATGGTCATCCTCATAGTCATAGCACTAAGCAGCATCGCTCTGGCAGCTGAAGACCCTGTCCAAGCCGAGTCACCAAGGAATGATGTGAGTAGCGATCAAACAGAAGCACAGCACTGTTGTTCATTCTTTCGATCAGTTGTGTAGACAGCAGCACAATTCTGTTTCAGAGGATAGTAATTCCCTCACATGTTTAATTGACATCATCTTGTCTTATGGAGTGGGTGATTCTGGGTTTGGGGGTGCATTGCTAGTAGCCAAATTCTTTGCAGAGAAATGAACCTGAAAAGGGGCCCATAGATGCAACTGATTTTTAAATGTCTTATAGTCCAGCATCCTGTTTCTACAATTTTTAGGACTAAAGGTTTCAGAAAAGGTTTCAGGCAGTTGTAAAATATATTACCGCCAGGGAAAGCTTCTTCGTAATCCTTACTAGTTGGAGGCTAGTTTATGCCCTTTCACAGGGGCGATTTCCTATCCATTCCTTACACTACTGAGATGTTCGCAGTGCAGTCATGAACTGCTGGAGCAGGGCACACTCATTTTGGGGCATAGGGAGATGAGCAAAGTAGGAAAGGGGTTCCAAATATTTTGATGAAAAGTGTATTCATTTTACCATTTTAACCCTGCTGGGGACACATGCATACAGATGCAAACACATGCAGAGAATATTCTGGCAAAGGTTTAAAACAAATTAACCTCAATTTCCCATATTTCCTCAAATATAAGATGAGGTTTTTTCCCCCAGTCAGCATGGGGGGAAGCCCCTCATTTTACATTTGCATACAGGAAAACCCCTGTAAATACGTTGCCTATCATTTAACTGTTGCCAGAAGCAGCATGGACTCAATCAAGGAAACCAACTGTGAAGCTGATTAAGTGCAGCCTACACTGAGCATGACTATAAAACACATGGCCCACAGAGGGCAAACATACTGAAGAGAACCCTTTTTTTGTGTTTTTTTACAAATTTTATTAAAAAACACAATGTTTCATCCTACCCTTTACCAAACTTCACATATTAAGCATCCTTGTTTTACCAAAATGTTCTATTGCAAAAACAACTACATAGCAAAATTAAACCCTTAAACGACTTGCATTAACTTTCCACAAAAGAGCCCCTTACACACCTCTTTTCTTCATACAGAAACCCATGAAAAATGATTACCTCAGTAACCACATGAAACTTTACGCCCTTCCCATCTGTCCTCTCTTGGTTTGTTGAAACAAGCGTGTCCAGTCCCTTTTCTCCACTTTTTCTCTGCTGCTTCTCCTCCAATCTCTTCCTTGTCCTGACTGATGTAGAAATTCAGTGCCCCCTCTTCAGGCACTCTCTTTCTGTGAAACCCAACCCCTTAAAAAAAAAAGAGGTTTCTTGCTTGCCATAAACTAGTTTTAAAACATGTTAATGAAGTGCTTAATAACATTTCCTGGGGTCCCTTTGGTATGAGTCGATATAGTACCATCTCCCATGCTAACAACAGGTTCATTTTGGTGACACTCAGAAAATGGCAGACCCTTTCCTACACCCTCTTTGCATATGTACACTCCCAAAACACATCCCACCATTTTATTCTTGCCTGCACCACTCCTTGGGCACCTAGATGAGCTTGTCAAGCCCCAAATGGGGCTTGACGAGCTCATTTGTGTTGTACCTCTCTCGCTGGCAGGATATTTTTTACAACCATCCACACTAGGTCAGCTTGTTCCCTTTTTTGTTGTTTGCCCACCACCGCTCCCCACACCCTCTTCACTTGTCCTTCTGCAAAGTGTCCCGCTGCTGCCATTCTCTCTCTCTCCCTAGCTTGCTTTCAGCAATTTCTTATGATCCTTCAAGACCTCCAGCCTTACCTTCCCAATTTCATACCTCTGCATGACACCTTCCATCCTGATGTAAGGAATCGGTGGTTGCCAAGCCCATGGATTGGATTCAGAGAGGTCCGATATATGGATTCAGAGAGGTCCGATATATTTCCTAGAATTGCAGTTGTGTGAAATCGGGTGATACCTGCTGCATGCCCCTCTCCCTCCATTACCACCTTGCATACCACATGTACATATTTCACATCCATGAACAGTCACAAGTCCGGCATCTCCCCATCACCCATCTCTCTTGCTGTGTACACTTTAGACCTAAATGACCTTTTTCTTCGGACATTCCAGAAGAACCCACATATTTCTCTCTGTACTTTTGCTACCAGCTGCCATGTCGGTGGGAATACAATTCCCATATATAAAATAACTGTCAGTAGCACAGCCTTAACCATTGCCACTTTTCTGGCATATGACAGCGTCCTTCTGGACCATGACCGAAGTAATTGCTATATCCTTACTGTCACCTTCCCCCTCAGCATCCAGCAGATCCCTAGCACTCTAATTTCACTCTCTCTTATTTGAAGGTCCAACTTTTCCAAGTCCCTCCAAATCCCCACTTCCATTATGGTGCTTTTCAATCTATTTAGTTTAGCCCCTGTTGTTTCTCCATACTCTGATGTATGCTTTAGCAACCTTTCCATTAAAAGTCTATCTCTAACTACAACATTTATATCATCAGTGTATAATATGCATTTTCTCTCTCCCCCTTCTGGTATCTTTACTCCACATATGACCTTGTCTTTTCTTTTTCTTTTTCTTTGTGCTAATGGTTCCATGCCATACACAAATAGTAGTGGCAACAGGGGGGCACCCTTGCCTTGCTCCTGTATGACTTTTAAAGGCTCCGCTTAGTTGCCAGTAATTTGGACTTGACTCTCCACTTTTCTATACAATAACCTTATCCAACATATACATTTCTCTGGAAACTCCATTTTTCCTAGCACCTTGAATATTTAATCATGATGCACTCCATCATATGCTTCTTATAAACCTAGGTTTGTTATAACTGTGTTTGTTTTCCTCTCTTGGATGTGCTCGTACTAAAACTTTTCTCTCTTGTTTTCCTTTTAAATCACCTTTCTATCTCTTGTCTTGTTTCTTCTAGTTTTTCTCATACCTGTCTTCCTTCTATGGCTTCCTTTAGCAGCTCCTGCATCTTTCTCTGTAGCTCTCTCAGCTCCAGTTCTTTTCTATGTGGTTCTTCAGCCTTCCTTCCTGAAGATTTCTCCTGTCCTCTTCTTCACCGTCATCCACCATTCTCTTGTACTCTTAAAATATTTCTTTAGTGTTCTCCATCCCTCATACTGTCTTGTATATCCTTGACATCTCCTTATCTTGTATGTTTAACTTCCACACTCCCCCTTCCCTTACATGGCTCTTGCCAAGACTCAGTTTTGCCTTCAGCATCTGGTGATCACTAAATGCTCCACATATGGTTTCTTTCTTCCTTATCTCTGTTTCTTTTGTTACAAACACAAAGTCAGTTCTTGATTGTTTCTTTCCATTGGGGGCAGTTCTAGTGAAAACTTTCTCCCTTGCCCACATATCTCTCACTGAGTCTTCTTTAATTATATTTGTTAACTTTCTGGATTAACTGTCTTAAGTTCTGCCTCCTCCTTCCCCTGTTCTGGCACCCGCTTCTATTATGCAATTGAATCCCCCACTACTGTCTGCGATCTCCCTCTGACTATATAAACTGTAGGCCTCTGCAAAGCAGCAAGTATTTGTTTCAGATTCGGCCGATTCAGAGGGACAGTGATTCAGTTCAGTGATTCAAATCACTGTCCCGATTCGATTCGGCCAATTCGGATCTGGATATATGGCCATAGACTAAACAGGCAGCATTCCTCCACAATGCTGGACACAGCTGCCTCCAGCTGGCAAGTCTGTTGTGGTGGGCAGAGGGGGGAGGGAAGGGGCATGGGGTGGGGACAGATCAGTTCCCCCACAATGAGAGAGGGATTGGGGCTGGGGCTGGGACAAGCTGCCCAGCCAGAGCGGGGGAGCATGGGATTCAGGGAAGGGGTCTCCCGCAACTGTGCACCACTGTGCGCTGCTGGTCTGGGAGCTGCTCTTCCAGTGGCTCCTCCAGCGGCTCTCATCGCCAGTCTGGAAGGGCATGGGAGTGTGCGGGCCGGGAGCGACCCGAGCCCTTTTTCGTGCTGCACGCGGGCTGTGGCCAGCAGCCCGGGCACGCCGGGTTGGAGAGGGAAGGCCGTCGAGCTGGAATTAGGCACAAACGCGTATCGGTAGTTTAAAAGATTGTTTACTTACACCGAGATGGCAGGGGTGCAGGCTGAAAACTTGCTTAAGTTGCTGTTACAGACAGGAAAGAAGAGAGGCGGACAAGAGTTCTAGACTCATGAACTCTAGCCCAATCCGGCTGAAGGCTCTGAACACGCGAGCCCGTCGTGTCAGCCGAAGAAAGTACTCGTCCGGAAGAGCTCTGAATAAACTCACACGAAGTTTGCTAGGCTCCGTGGGTTCTTCTGCTCACTCATTCACACGGAGTTTGCTAGGCTCCGTGGGTCCGGTTCTTTTGCGCGTGGGAAGGGATACGTCTGGACTGCGCTCGGCGACGGGGAGAGGCTAGAGGTTGATCAGACCTCTATTGCCTGCTTTAAATGCACTGGGTCCGTAAGGATCCGCAGCGCTTAGAGATCTTCACACAGCGTGAAGTCTCCTCCTCCCTTGTTCGT